TCCGCTCTTAGGAAAAAAAAATCATAACCACATCTGTGATGATTAATTTCCACTTTTGTTATGGCTGTAATAACTCCTAATTGCATAGCAATTTCTGCATGTTAAAAGAACTCAACTCTATGGAAGCCTTCCGTGACTTGGAAAACGTTAGCAACGGGAAAGACATCCACTACCCGGCCCCATGTGCAGGGAAGAGCAGCCATCCTTTGACCCCTTCGAATTTCAAGTTCTGTATGGTCTGCGTTTATCTGTCGGCACACTGCTGTAGGAGATGAGTTCCTTTAGGGACCATGTTTCACCACACAGCTTCTTGTTATTTATGCGACGTGCCAAGAGCCTTCAGAGGGCAAGGGAAAATATCATTCCTGTCTTTTCCCTGAAGCTCTCCTTTTGACAGGATGACTGGCTAAGAAGCCACGGGGATTTGGTGAAACAAAGCGTTCCTCAGCATTATGGAATCTGCTGCTCCTATTCCAAGGAGAGTACAAACTACGACCTTGGTTGAACACTGGTAAGTGTGCTGGTTGCCTAGCAAAATTTAGAAGTTCAAGGAAAAAGCCATCACGTTCTTCCTAATTTACATTTTGAAGCTGTTATTATCATAATGGGGTATGCTACAAATTGAAATGCCTTAACAGGAGGCTTAGAATAGTATGACATTTTACATTACCATGGCGGCTGACATGTACCAAACAATCTTATTAATTTCTGTATTTGCAAAAACAACAAAATGCTGTGATGTACAATGTGCTAGTGGCCACTCAGCAAAGAGCACACCCACTCCTTTAAATTGGAAGGATGAAGCCAGGATGATTGAGATTTACGTAAGGGTAAGCACATTTTCAGATTCTCAGTGTGAATGGAAATTGCTTCACATTGCCACAAAGGTTTAATAGTTTTTAAAATTCCTCATTTCAAGAAGGGCTGCTGCCTTCATTTTCAACTGTAGGAAAGCAAGTCAAGGGAACAGAGCTCCCTCGGCTCCTGAACATAAATCACTCACACACACACACACACTCACACACACCACACACACTCTCTCTCTCACACACACACATTCTCACACACATGCTCACACACACACCCACACACACACACCACACATACACATCACACACACACACATACCACACATACAACACACACACCACACATACACACTCACACATACCACATACA